GCATAGACCTAGACCTAAAATCATATTAAGTCTAAGCTGTATAAACAGTATTCTGTAACACTCTTAATAACAAAGAAAGTAACCTTAGTGATTAATGAATGCCGTAATTCATGTGATGGACTTGTCACAAACTACAGAAGCACTGGTGTGAAATGCGCGAAATTACTTACTGATGAGATGAATTAAGATACAATTACATGCTGCTCAGTCTGTATCTAGTCTATTTCATGTTTAATTTCTATGTATGATTATATTACAGTAGGTTTCGATTGATTAAAACGGGTGCACAAAACATATTGTTATGTCATATTGGATTTCCGTACGGGTGATAAGCCAGTGGAAATTTACGGTTTCATTCTATTTATTAATATAATAATTGGTCTCACCGTGATTCTAATGCGATAGGTTTTTAAAAAGATATTCTATCATTCCTTTAAAATTCAATTAAATTTTCTTTTAAAATAGAAATTCAATTTAGAAAGAAAATATGCAGTAGGTTTTCATTAATATGGTAAAATGCATTAGCATATGAAAATTAAAAATTCTTCGAGATTCATTATTGAAGGTTTAATTGATATTTGAGACTTAAAGGATTTTTTATTGAACTTTAATAAAAAGAAATTGACCTCCCCTTAATCTTACGAGTACCAACTGTCGTTTAAATGTTGTATAGAAAAAAAACATATAGACGAATTGAGAACCTCCTTTTGGAAGTCGATTGAAAGTTAGTTATTTTTATTATTTAAAGAAAATTAGTTATTCTCAAAGCATCCCGGATATGGTAAAGTAAACATAATATCATAGAGTAATTCTCAGTAGTTCCTTGTCCTTCGTCGCATTGCATAATATATTGCAAATTAATACTCCGATTTAGAACTCTATTGCTATTGTCATGCCGAGACAAATTTAACAGCACTGTTTCTGCGCTACCTCATGATTCTGGCTTCGTGTGAAAGGCTAAAACTATTAACAGGGAGTCACGTCTTCAGATGTCATGGTGCTGCATACTTATCGATATTCGATATTTTTAAACAATTGAATCTTAACATCTCGTGAATTAAATCATAAACCTAATCAGTCTTTCTGACTTATTATAATACAAAGATTTATCCACGGGTTTATCGGTTGCTAAAGATACTTAGGTCGATAAATTTTTAAGCGTATGCACTAAATATGTCAATTAAATATACTAATTGCGATAGTTTCTGTTTGTTGGAGAGATATTTAATCTTTCTACAGCTTGCGAGTATCGCTGTCTCCCTGGATCGTAACGTCGGATGCTCTTCCGGAATACATTACTCCTATCTTGCTCCGATGACGTCATTGCGATCTGGAAATTATATCTTGAAACTTGATCGAATGCGATAAACGTAGTCAGTTAACGTTAGCTGAAGTAAGAAGCACTTCCAATATGAATATTATGGTATAGTAAGAGTTAAATATTTAAACAAAAGTCAATAGAAATTATCTTTACATTTTAAATTGATGGTAATTATCGTAATTGAGAAGCGTTTGATATTATGTTTTTTTTTATAACATAAGGTGGCAAACGAGCAAGCGGCCACCTGAATCCGCCAAAATAGCGAAGCGACCGCTGCCCATAGACATCCGCAATTGCAGATGCGTTGGCTACCCCTATCCGACGGAGGAGAAGACGCATATAAAGCGGAAACTTCCCCTTCCTATGAATCTCTTCCACCGTCAAATACAATCCTGTTCCCATTCTCTCCTTATAAGAAAGGGATGGTAAAGGAAAAGGGACCTAAATTAGGTCTCCGGCACAACACTCATCAGACGAAACATGGAATTGCTTCCATTTCACTGGTGGTCGTGGTATTACACCGGGCGTGCCAGCTCATTCGTGCTAAGATGTTAAAGCGGGCACTACCACTGAAAACAAAGCAACTCTAGCATTGTAATTATAACAACAATTCCCTTTTTTTAATTTAACTTTGGAATAACCTTTGTATAAAATTAAACGATATTAAATTTTAGTTCACTGTCAAAAGCGATAACCACAACAATCGCTTGGACAGCTTTATTTATGAAATACTTTAATAATTAATATTGAACATGACGGGTGACTACTGAAAGTAAAATAAATAGTGCAATTTTATGTAAAATAATTGGTATAATAATAATATGAATGATGTGAATAATTGGTTTTACTTTTAATCTATGTTCGCTTATGTTACATTGTGGGCCTGTCCCACCACATCTGGTACAGATGTAGATTATAATACGGAAAAACAAATAGATTACTTACGGCTCCCACCATTGGCTGATAGTGGCTTGGATAGCTTAAAAATAGCGTCACTAACAGATAAGGGAACAAAATACATTTCCAGCACATATTATCAATAATATTTCTCTAGTGAAAATAAACGCAAATTGTAACAAAATTCTTATCCAAACCCTACCGATATAGTTAATGGATTTTATATAAATACGGCACGGTACGGTCTCGGGTCGGCATTCAAATGAAGGTAAATATTAAATTACATTAGGCTTACCCAACATATTCGAAATTACATGTTTTCATATAATTTGTCCTATTTCTATTACTTTTTTACACTAACATTTCAAGAGAACTCAAGGCGTTGTTGTTTAATAAAGTGAGGCAATTTGGAAATATACTTAACTAGCTGCTGCCCGCGACTTCGCCCGCGAGAAATTAAAAAATATAGCCTATGTTACTCACAAGTATATTATCTTTCTGACGGTGAAGAATTTTCAAAATCGGCCAAGTAGTTATTGAGCTATTTCAACATACAAGTATAGATAAGAAAAATATTTAAGATGTCTTTAAAGTCATGCAGGTTTCCATAATGCAGAAAATAATGTAGAATACCTTTCTAACGAATGAGGAATAAAGTAATATGGAAATTTCTGGTCTATATTATATTTTTTAGATGATATTTGTACAGAACAACAATACATAGGTTACTTACGAAGATTTTTTTCAAAACCCCCGCGGACGGAGTCGCTGGCATAAGCTAGTACGCCGTAAAATAAAGCCCTCGTCACGTCGCATTACAAGGAAAAGTAAAAGCCATTTCACTTAGACCGGTATCCACAGTTGGTTGGTCATAAATCATTTGTCGCTGCTGCTCCTAACTGCCTCGTACAAGGTGCCCCAGGCCCAGGCATACGTTATGGAAACAATTCCTTTGTAAATGATACTCGCAAACGAGCTCACAAAAAGAATTAATTCCCTTGGTAACTTTACTCTTCTATGATCACGAATCTCTATATTATTGAGGTACTTTCTCGCTTCTTACATCAAAGATTCTTGATGCTTGCATAAACAACAACTTTGGTAGTGTTCTAAGAACGCTATTGAATGTTCTATTGAATAAAATATGTTATCTAAACTGGTGAATCGGTAAAGTTTTAAATCATTAACACGCTCACTGCGTATCAGTCCAATATCGGCCTGACTCGGTAATTAACATGGTGCGGACTAACAAAACTATGTCCCTCTCGCTATTGCGAAACTACTATCTCAGGTGTATACATTACATTATATAAATTTATACATTATTTTTCCAATAAGTTATAGCGATTTAATCTTTCCTAGAGTTAGTCTAAAAAAAACCTGCCATGCACTGGCGGAAATATCATTGGGGCGCATTTTGGTCCGCCGCCGCACCAGATGAAGAATTATGATTTTACTTGTTAGCAGTAAACGTGTTAACTAACGTTTGAAATAAATGTTGGCATTATTAGTGTGATAAATGGGAAACGTAATGTGTAGAGAATAAGTCCCTGGACATTAGTACCGACAATGCCGAGGTAAGGGAATTAAGTAATGTTACATTAACGATAGTGGGTAGATTTGAGCCAACCGACTGAACGCATAAAACTGATGTGAAAAAACACTTCGAGTATTGAAAATTGAACCCTTCTTAAACGTACTAGGGTTGAGAATTGACTGATAAGTTTTAATCTAATCAAGGGTCGAGGGCAAGATGTTCTCGAATAAGGTATCTCGTTTACATTCAGAGACTTGTACGCCTGTTGGAAATTTAAATTCAAATTAGAATCATATTGATGTTAATATAGCATAATTAGTACGTAGTAAAACATAGTGAATTAGAAATATATACTGAAATGTGATCTCAATAAATTATTTGATAGTTTGAAAATATTTTTAAAGAAAAATACGATAGTGAAAAGATTAGAACTACAGCCATATGGTACTAACAACAGTCTCAAAAACTTTGTGGTGCCGGTGACCCCACAATGAAAACCTACGCTAATATTCGAAAGATAGGTAACTACATAACCTAAAATGACCTGCCGAACTAAGATTAACAAGAAAACCGCCTATTTTGCGTAGTCGAGGTCCCCGGGATAAACCGCAAACCTCTAGGCGACGGTCACATCGAAATTTATTTCGTAATTAAACGTGCTCGACATATATGTATGGCATGTAAAAATATTTTTGTTTCATGTTTCATGTTGTGAAAACGCAGTTTATCTTGGATGATAATGTAACGCTCTTTAAGCTTTTTCTTTCATGCTTTATACATATTTCAGTTAATTTCATAAATTCCAGTTATTTTTTATTTAATTTTAAATTGTGATTATCTTTTAGTTGGTATAACTGTTGTAATTGTTAATCTCTTGTTTTTCAATAAAATTATTTCTATTTCTATTTATATTTAATTACTAGTTGTGTTATCAGAGTTGTTCGAGAATAAGTAAATTAGCCTTTGATATAAGAAGATAATTTTTCAATTAAGTTGAGGATTTTTTTAATGAATTCATGTATGTAGGACAAACCAAATGATCTAATCAAGATAATTTTAATAATGTTATTTAAAGTGGCAAATTATTTAAAATGTATTCGCTATTAAAGATGATAGCAGAGAAATATAAGATTTATTAAGTTATGGTTAATCTATAAAATGTATGGTGACGGTAAAATAAAACAATTAACTATTATTTTATAATCACTTATTAAAGGAAATTTTATAAATGAAGTCTTAGACGAGTATTGATTTTTTTTTAACGCCAGTTACTGGCCACTGCTTGGTACACTTTCATAGCGACTTTCGCGTCTTCGGCCGAGTCGTGCTCCCCGGACTGAATGTTCTGTCGCAGGTAATGTTGAGCCAACAACTGCAGCGATGGAGTATTCCCATTGTTAAGCTGGAAAAAATAAACCTCTATAAAATCTATACTTTGAATACTTTTCCTACTTTATATGAAAATTTGTGGTCTCCATTTTCCTATTTTAATAATCTATTACGTAAAAATAAAAAAAAAAATCAACTATAGAATAAAATCTAAAGAAACAATTTTAGTTAATACTTTGTGAAAGATTAGCTATTGCTCGTTATTTTGTCCACGTGGAGTTAAAAAAAATAATAAACATAGCCTGTGATAAAGAGTTTTTTATTCATGCAAGAATTTTTGAAATCGGCCTAGTAGTTTAAGTTATTTAATTTCGTACAAAAATCCATAAAACTGTCCTCTTTAACACAATAGTATAAGAAACAATAAAGGGTTTAAGACTTTGAAGACGGTTACAAAAATTAGGGAACAACAAAGCTAGTAAAACTCACCCTTTTAAATGGCTCATATTTAGCAATGTCTCTTATGTCTGTTTCTGGATGTGAAAGACTCAATGCTGCCAAGTCAAAATGAAGAGAATGGCCAACTAAAATTTTTCCACGGATCAAATTCTGCACTTCCCTTTGAACCGTATTAAAATTTTCTCCCGAATTCAAATGGTGTTGCTTTATCCCACTTACAAAAGTGCGGTAATCAGTCACTGGTTGCGTTGGTTTTACATATTTATCATAAACGAGGGATCCAGAGCTATTAACCAACGAAACACGTGCCAATAGACTTCGGTTGCCACTTCCAACCATCTCACAATCCATAGCAATGTAATTACTCATTTTAGCGGCTTTAATAAAATAATTTTTTAAGAAGACTAAACTTTGAGACTACGTCTAGAAACGAATTTATACTTCGAGACTACGCTTAGAATTGATTACGATTCCCGTTTTCTCAACGCTTATATAGTATCGGCCACATTTTAAGGGGATTCCCCGAAACGTTTTTGACGTCTGACTAGGATCGATGCAATGGCATACGGTCCATTCGATTTTTGTATCGATATAACAAATCGATTCACTAACGGATCAAATGGCGATATATCGTTTGGACGTTTTAATGTAAATGATTTTTAAAACCGTGCTTGCTTGCCGAGATTTAAAATGATACTTAAAACTACATATCCAATATGTGATACTGAATCGATCCAAAAAAATTGAACACATCGGATCGATACCTGCATCAATACCATTATATACGATCCATTGCCATCCGAAGTATCGATTCAAAGCACCTGGATCTCTATGTCTGCGAATATTTTTAAAGCAAAATCGATTTATTGCATGTTTGTAAACATTATAAAATTGGAGTAATATAGGTATGTTATTACTCTCTAACTATTTTTCCATATTTGATGTTTTGCGTGATAAAAATATTCAGCTGAATCGATAACAATTTCAAAATTCCAAAATTAAGCAAGATGTCGAGAGTGACTAACATATGGAAGATAAATAATCTGGTTTACGTTTAAAATAAAAACCCTTTTTCAATAAAGTATCCAAACAAGAAATGTAATACGATTACGATTCGATACTGTAACTTTTAATCATAGATTCTTCGGCTTACCTACTTTTGTTTTACTTTTAACGGGGATTCCTACAAAATTATATTTTGTGAAGTGTGGCTCAGATAAAAAAAGTTATCTTTTAGATTAAAAACATATTTATTCTGATGCAATATTTGATTTTTAAATTTACATAAGGTTCAGGACATTATACCGAAATATGAATTGGTTGTTTTTTTTTTAATACAATGGCGCCTTCACCAACAGGTAGCCAGCTTACAATATATTACTATCTGACTACTTCTTAACACTCCCCTACCTCTATGATCGAATGGCGTTCCCCTAATCTTACTAATATTCTAAATGTGAATGATTGGATGGATATTTGTTAGTTTGTATCCTAAACTGCTAAACAAATCTCGATGAAATTTGGCATAGATCAAGAGTACATATTGGAAGAACACATAGGCTTAAAGGCCGACGGATAGAACACATAGGCACAAATACTTTTGTTTTATTTAATTCCATGAGTACGGAGTCGCGGGCGATAGCTAGTGTATGATGAATATTACGTTTTTCGAAATTAATGTCGATCAAACTTGGATGTCCTACCTGGTGAGAGAGGAGCTGTATCGGATTTTCTGAAGAAAACATATAAAACCTACATGGACATAGAAATAGCCATAAAAGGAGAGCGCTAGTAACCTATCATAATTTCGCCCTTTTCTGGCTATAAATTAGAACTGTAAGTAATTCCCGTATTCTTCTTATATGTGCATTTTTTTGGTCGGGGAAAAACCGATTCGTCTCTGCTTTAGCATGATTCAAAAGGACACTCAAAAATCAATGATATGCTTTATCAGTCATATTATAGTAAAAGATAATATTTGTAATCAGTAGGCACACACATGAACATAACCTTTTTCATAAGTTTTACCAAAAGAGACATGAGTTATCAACTGAAATTATCTGTCTGTCTGTTTGTTCGCAAGCCACATTTGTTCGGGGTAATCTCCGAAATGGCGCGATCGATTACGACCGGACTTTCACTGAAGTTTCAGATGCTCTTACCACCCTTTTTGAGTATTCCTTCATTCTGTAAAGTAAGTTTAAACTTATATCTCCTTATATTCTCAATATTCTTTTGTACTGAAGTTAACAGTTGGCAAGTAAATAAAATTAAAATAAATCAAACATCGGAAATGTATTTATTTAATTTAATTTTACAACATAATGTATTTTGACCAGTTGTAATAACTCATTAATACTCCAAATTACAATTGGTATACCAACTTTAACAGAAATTATTGCATTTTCAATATGTACTGTGCCATTATTTTCTTGACTTCTTCGCTGCATTTTACTGGATTTGGACTAAATAGTCTAGTTGCCTGCACTGGAATACAACAATCGACTCTTTAGGCCAGTGACAGAATATGAAACCTTATAACTCATATTCCTCATTGACAAACCCAGAATAAAAACATTCTTTTGTACTGAAACTTTTTTAATATCATATTTGTAATACAACAGGTTTATCTAATTGTATAGCTAAAATGTCAGGAGTTCTTAACAATGCTGATGACATTACAATATTTGCTGGTGTTTTCAGATCATGAATTAACACTTCAGTGCCATCAGGTTTCCAGCTGGATAAGGTCCCAGTTAGCTTTGACTGTTCATATGTCAAGATTGAACAACGCTCACCTATAAAAGAATAAGAATAATATTGACAGATGAAAGGCTATTTGTTTCAACCGCCATTTTAGGCGATAATGACTTACATGTTATATATCCAGAATAGGTGATTTTTTCTATGTCGTTAATAAATTATGAAGTATGCAGAATTATAGTAATTTTAATATAAAACCTGTCTGAAAATCTTTGAATTTAAATTATTTTCAGAATTTGTTTTTATGCTTTTTTTCTAAAAACTTTAAATGGCTCTCCTGAACATTTAACCTAATGGAGCTTAAAACAGCCTTTCACCCATCGATATAAATAAGTAAAAAATTTTAATAACTACATAGAGTTTTAAATACCTCCACTTATAGGGCAATCAAGCGTTGGTACTACATGATCCAATTTGAGCTCTAAATTCATTTAAATTGCAGTCTTAAGAGTATTTGGAAAAGGAATGAGTAAGACTGTTAGCTTTAGCTGCTTTTACCTTTTTTAACTATTGATTTATTCACTTAAAGGAATGTAACAAAAATAAATGAAATCTTTACCATGTAAACTGTTAACAGCCTTCAAAAATGATTCACGAAGTTTAGCTCTGGCTTCTTGTTTTAAAGGTAACTGATCTTCAGTATTATCAGTTTTCATTTTATACAATGGGATTTATAATTAATAAAGATTTCAGATAACTTTATACAAGCTAGTAAAATTGTCTAACTTAACAATTAGTAACAAACTCAATACTAAAAACATAAATCTTAAATATGATTTTACTTGATATTTATAATAATTGTTTACTTTCAGTAAAGTTGACAGATGTCAGATGACAGTCAGAGAGCTGTAGATTCGTATTACCGTATTGCCAAAGTGAACAAAAAACACATTTCGGATGGTACCTATATGAAGTTGGTTTAAATTACAAAATCAATTAAAACGTACGACTATTTGCTGAACAAATTTATAATCGAATAAACTTTAATGCACTACTGAATCGCTACTGTGCATATGCCATGCTATGCACGCGCACGACATACTCTTTGATTGTAGATGGAACAACCCTATTAAATATTTTAATATGGTGACTGCTGATAATTTTCTTGTAAAATACGTTTACTTTCGTTAAGTTCTTTAACTTAATTAACTCTTTGGTGATGTAAAACAGTTATTACAATTATTAATTTCCCATGTGTTGACTATTTATCAAAACAAAGTATAAGTAATCAACAATGGCGGTGTTAGCGGCTGCACAGTTATTGGATGAATTGATGGGACGGCATCGCAATACAAACCCAAATGAGAAAATAAAGAAACCCAATTGGGAGGATCCTGAAGTGAGCATGTTTCTACAATTTCTGTCATACATTTTCGAGAATACATTTCGTATTCCCATTTTGACATGAAAATTAACCTTACATTTAAAGACATTTATATTAATCTTTTTTGGTAATTTTTCAGTATTGTAAATATTTCATGGTGAAATTTTGCCCACACGATTTGTTTGTGAATACCCGAGCGGACCTGGGCGCCTGTCCAAAAGTTCATGATGATGAGGTTAAAGAATTATTCCAGAGAGCAGAAACTTCATACAAAAAATCCCAATATGTTGAAGAATTTTTACGCTTTTGTAGACACATGATAAGTGAAGTTGAAAGTAAGTATATTAATGTTCTTATGTTGTTCTATAAGACACCTCTAAATGCTACATAAAATCGTCTTTGGTTAATTTATATTCTTAATACAAAATTTGTAGGAAAAATACAGAAAGGAAAGCAAAGACTGGAACTTATGAATTCAAAACCTGAAGGTCCTCCAATGACACAGGCTCAAACTGAGAAAAACCAAGAGCAGGTATGCATTTTTCATAATATTATGGTTCTTAAATATCTCGGAACTTGTAAAAGAAAAAAGGGGAAAAGATGTAGGGATAATACAGAATCACTCAGCTAACCTTTAGCCACCAATTAAAAATGCCATCAAGAAAATTTATGCCAAATCGTTCACATATACTTAAAAGTTATTTTTAAAGAAAAGGTTATATCTTGCAAGATTTTTCAACAATATTTACAAAATAGAATGCTGCAGATATAATGTCAGAGTTCATTATTTCATAATTTCTTCACAATATTATTTTGGTTTAATAAATTACTGCCAGTTTTTTTAGTAAGCACTTAATCAAATAAGAGTATTTTCTTTTTTTATATATTGAAAACTGGTGACAGATTTTAGGTAAACAATATCTGTAGATTTTTATAAAAAGAATAACAATTCTTTTTATAAAAACGGAGATATTTCCTGATATTGGTACTGGTTTCTGATAAAAGAATAAAAAAGACATCTTACGATGAAATCGACTAGGAAATTAGTGTCTTATATTACCTGTAGGGTTAACAATTGCTTTAGGTGAAACTTCTGTCGGAGAAGATAACATCTTTAGTGGAGGAGGCTGAAGAGGCGGGGACGCGCGGCGATGTAGAACAGGCGCAAGGCCTCATGAAGCTTTGTGACCGATTGAAAGATGAGAAAGATCAACTTCTTAAACAACAAGAAAACAGGTCTGTATGAAAAAGTATATAAGATATTATAAACTTTTTCTAAAACAAAAAATAACCTTGCATTTGAAAGTAATGGATGGTATTATTTTTTATTTGTTTACTCAATCTCTATAGAAAAAAATAACATTTAGTGATAATACTAGCTTTCGCCCGCTACTTCGCCCACAAAGATTTAAAACAAAAACAAAAGTAAATAGCCTATGTGTTCTTCCAGACTATCCCCTACATCTATACCAAATTTCATCAAAATCCGTTCAGCCATTTAGGCTACAAACTCTAACAAATATACATCTATCCATCTAAACTTTCGCATCTATAATATAAGTGAGATTAAAAAAGAAAACAGTTATGCCAACTGAAACATATAAAGATGAATAGAGTTTGATGTTTTTATATGTATTTTAGTCATTGGTCAATGACTGCGGAGCTCGCAGCAGCACAAGAGAAGCAGATGGAAGTGTGTCCTGTTTGTGGTGCTTTCCTGATCGTTGGTGATGCTCAGCAACGCATCGACGACCATCTCTCCGGCAAACAGCATGTCGGGTATGATACTATAAGTTTAGATCTACACAGGAAAATCATTTAGTTCTAAAAAAGTATTCTACAAATATTTCCAAACCAATACGACTTAGGGTCCTTCTAGAAGCGAGCCTATTATTTCCTCAAAGGACAGCAACGCACCTGTAGTTCCTCTGGTGTTACGGATGTCCATGGGTGTTGTTGACCACCTCGGTGATCTCGCCACTCGTTTGCCTCCTTTTATTATAAAAAAAAATAAGGAAATTACATTATTTAAAAAGAAAATTAATCGGCACAGTTGCATGCGCCATGTTTATGGGCAGTAAGTCCGTATCTTAAGAACATAATATTAAATATGTTAAAATGTAATTACTCTATTCCTTTGTATTTGACTATAGATATTTTAAGCTACGTCACGCGTACGAGGAGATGAGCGAGGCGCGAGAGAGGGAGCAGCAGGAGAAAGAGAAGAAGCGACGCGAGGACCGCGAGCGGGAGCGGGAGCGCAGCATGCGGGGCGCGGGGGGTGCGGGCGGCGCGGGGGGCGGGCTCGGCTCCGACCGCCGCGACCGCGAGCGCATGGAGCGCGACCGCTCCGACAAGGACAGGGAACGAGACCGCACCGACAGGGATAAGGAACGACACCGGTGAGCACACTTAAATACACCATTTTTTTCGTTTTAAGTACCATAAATTGAAACGGGTAATAAATTGAACATTGAAGTCTATTGCGTAAGGAAGAAAAGACTGATGTATAAAATCATCATGCATTTAAGGGTTAATACTTGGATTGTTAGATTTAATCAATAGTTGAGTTTTATTTACATGTTTTCATAAAACAATATAATTGTGACTATATTTAAAAATACCTTTTAAGACCTTTATTACACAAATTCCAATTAAAATGCTGTTGTTCTGAAGTATAGAATAGCTTTATCAGCAAGTTTATTAATTTATTGTTACCAATACAGTTATAGCTACTTCATACTTCAAAATGCTTGATTTATAATTAAATCATTGCAATGTGGGAATACAGACTTGTGGAAAACTCTAAGGGATGCATGTGTCGAAGACAACCTGACAAAGCAACTGGAAGCTGAAAATAACTTGTATAGTAATATTGTTTTATAGTTTTCTACATTTTATGTTTTTTAATGTTTATATCAAATAAAATATAGCCTATGTTACTCACAGATAAATAAATAACCTTTCTGATAGTCCTAACACTATATATCTTTTTGCAATATTGTCGACAGTTCCGTGCGCGAGGAGAAGGGCGGGCGGCACGAGGAGCGCGAGCGCGAGCGGGACGGCGAGCGGCACAGAGAGCGCGAGCGCGAGCGGGACAGGGACAGGGACAAGGAGCGCGAGCGGGAGCGCGACCGCGACCGCGAACGGAAGCATCGCAAGGACCGCCGTGAGTCATACCATACTAACTGTTACCCGCTACTCCGGCTGAATTAAAAAATAAACAAACGCAAGAACACATAGTCTGTGTTCTTCCAGACTATCCTCTATGCCAAAATTTCATTCAGATCCGTTCAGCAATTTAGGCTACAAACTCTAACAAGAATCCATCCATTTACACTTCCGCTTTTTATAATATTAGTTTAAGTTTATAACATACTAGCTGTTGCTTGCGACTTCGCCTTCATGTAATAATAGTAATAAAAACAGTCTATGTTAGTAACTGATAATGTAGCTTTTTAATGGTCAAAGATTTTTTGAAATCGGCGTAATAGTTTTACAGTTATTGAAATTTACAAAAATACAAATCTATCCTCTTCATAATATTAGTATAGATAAAGATTTTACAATGTTTAAATCGAATAAACGACGATATTGTTATAATTTGTGATGTGTGCAGGCTCCCCGCACGAGCGGTCGCGCCGCCGCTCCCGCGAGCGCGAGCGCCATTAATGGACTGAGGTATCACAAAAGCGCCAGAGACCGGTAAGTATAGTTCCTGCGCACCGCTTCTTACGTAAACACCTCGTCATTCCACTGTCGGCTCACTCTGAGGTACCTATACCATATATCCTAACGACTAATACACGACAAACATTCACAAATTACCCTTCCTCCTAAAAACAATGAATAAACAAGTAATAAAGTGAACACTGTTATTTTACAGCTGATAGTATCATATCAAAATAAAACATCGGTACATATGGCAAATATGAGGGGTTTTGTTGAGCCCGTTACTGTATTCTGTAGTTGTCGTCTCGCCGACGGACTTGGCAGGTATTTTAATTGGTATTTTGAGCAGCTGCTTGTGCTGAGAGTTGGAAAATTTCGTTGGTAAATCCGCGCGCGGCTTCGCAGGAACGTGTGGCCGCGCATTCGAGGTATTCTCATTATAAATATCTAGCGTATAACGAGTTGCCTGCGACCGTCCGGAATGACCGATGTCAGGTATTTGTTAGGTATTGTTCCGCTCTAGGGTGTTAGGGAATTCAACACCTCCGCTTAGCACAAACATTACAATTGAACTGTGAGAGTACTTTTGTCAGCCGCTTTGTCTGTACATTGCCATCACATAGTTGCCATGTCGCGGACGTGACGGGCCGCGTCTCATATGCGCCTCGTCTAAATATCGGATCCTGTTTTCTGTCATCTGTATATTTGCAGGTACCCACAATAAATATATAGCAACAAGTTTATTTACTACAACTTGGTGCTATATTATGAAATAAATACCCTAAATAATTTTTGAACTCATGTTTGACAATCTTGATTTTAATATTTCAATGTTCATTTTAAATTTAAGTGATTATTGTCGCATGTGAGTTCAAAATGAATACTACCCACGCTAGTTTCTAGCTTTTCGATGGACTTTTCAGTTGGAACCGCAGAAGAATTAGGAAGAACTCAGATGGCTGTCACCAATGAGGTACTTTTGAAATTAAGGCACCTGTGAAGCTGAAGAGGAAATGGTGGAAACTTCCAGAAAATCTCCAACGGCAACGGTTTCGAGGTGACATAGCATAGTCGCGGTATTATTAAGAAGGTTAAAATATAAAGAAATAATTGGTCAATGCATGTATGTTATAAGCTAGATATGAACTTGTTATTTTTTCGCCTAAAAATATGTTTGTAAGTTGTAGCTACCTCTACCATCTTATCCCTAGGGAGGTTAAATTCTGTATACCAGAGTCCACTGAGGAGTGATTCAGGTATTTATCTTTTTTCTTACACTTGTGAATTGTAATAAATTTGACTACGAATAGAATGTGTGAGCCATCCAATAAGGATTATTTTATTAAATTTTAAAGCTACTTTTTTGTTTTATTTATCCCCTTTCCTTTTTCTTTGTGCTCAAGGAAACTACAGATGCAGAAGTAGTGTGATTTTGGTCAGTTCACTGCTAGTGGTGGCATGACGAAGATTTGTTCTGGCTTGTTCTTCGTCCTTACATCAGTCATGCGACATTGCGTGATTCATAGATGTAAAGTAGCGTTTATTCTCAAATATTTCAATATTCACTTCTGTGGGATTAGTTCCCTCACACTCCAGTTTTCTATGGTTTTCTAACTTATTGATGTAAATGAAATGGTGTAAGGCTTTGTCCGTAAAACCTATTTTAATTTTAAGCGTGAGGATACTGCACAAAAAAAAGTTTTTGTAATGTTAATCGCTGGAGAATCTTGAGTGAGATTGAGAGTAGAAGACTTCTGTCAAAACTTATCGCAAATCTTTTTGCTCTGTGATATCTATGTAGCTCCTGTTTTATATGCTCTCTTATCTGACAGTGACATTGACGTTTTAGTCAAGTTGTCAAAAGTTTACACATCTTTATCTTCAAATCAATATTTTGTAATTAATAATTATAAATAAATGTAAATAATTACATTTTTTTTAGCAACTGCGTATAATACAAAATAAAGTGCGCCTTTCAATGTACATTCCATGATATAATACAAATAAAATGGGTGCACTTTTTGGTAAAAGTAAAAAACCTGTAAGCAGGGTAACTGAACAAGATAAGGCAGTATTGCAGCTAAAGCAACAAAGAGATAAACTAAAACAATATCAAAAGAAAATAGAACTTAACCTTGAAAGAGATCGGCAATTAGCTAAGAAACTGCTCTCCGAAGATAAACGAGATAAAGCTAAGCTTCTATTGAAAAAGAAAAGATATCAGGAACAGTTGCTGCAGAACACGGATTCGCAGCTAGAAAAGTTGGAGCAGTTAACCCACGATCTCGAATTCACACAAATTGAAGTACAGGTATGTATTTTGTATTCCACATTAGTTTGTATTTCATTGTTGGAAGTTAATTTTATGTACTCAATTCCCATATTAATAATCAAATCATCGAGTTACACTGATGTAACGATTGTAATAAAAATTTAATAATTATTACTTGTCATCAGTTAAAAACCCACTATCATAAAAGCTGTCCAAATTTTCACTATCTAATCTATATTTGCAGGTATTAGAGGGTTTGAAGACTGGAAATGCTGCATTAAAGAAGGTACATGATATTCTAAACATAGATGAGATAGAGAAAATTATGGATGAAACTCGAGAAGGTATTGAGAAACAGAGAGAGATTGATGAAATGATTTCCGGACAACTGACTTCAGAGGATGATGAAGCCATTGAAGCTGAGCTTGAATCTATTCTTGATGTTGCTGATCAGTTGCCAGATGTACCTGAAGACAAACTGCCAGAGGCAAAGGCTGAGGATATCCCTGAGAGGCCACAAAGAGTTAAGAATAAGGCAAACAAGGTGGCAGTTGAAGCTTGAATGTTAAAATTTTAGATTAAGATATATATAAAACGTAAATGTATATAAACATATTGTACAAATGCATCAATAAACAAATTATATTTTGCAACTTATTTCTTTGTTGGTGGTGCTGAGGTTAAGCATTTTTAATAATCTAAAGTTTGTCTAAATAAGATAGATTTGTTTGACAATTCATTTTAAATTTAGTAGTAATGCTTGTATATATCAGCCATAAATCTTTTTGCTTTTTGATTTTTATTCTTATAGAAGTTCAAATCAATAGTGTCATAGTTATAACTTGTGAATTAAAAAAAAACAGTTTTCTCAAATTAATAATGACCATATCAAGATCGGATTCCGCAGCCGGTGGTGCTCTATTTTTTATATAACATATTTTATTTTATTTTTATATTGTTGTAAAATATATTATATAGAGAGTAAGAAATAAAGATATATGGACCATAACAAGTAATGAAAGTAAATGTTATACTACTACAGCAGTACATAATCGAATTGGATTTCGTTATTTGTCATCGCTAAATTCTCTACACTGTAATGAAAACTAGTGTTGTCCTCTAAATTAGTTAATTAGAAAATAATAATTTTAGTAAAGTTCAATAATTATTTAAACCGAATATCGATACTTAATAATTGTTCACTATGCATGTTTGTTTAGTCACTACGATACCTGTGTATTAAGTACGGCATTTGCCTTCATACTCATTGAATTCGATACTTCATTTGCGTCATTTATCAAACTAATCTATCTTATCTAAACAAACTATAAAGATTAAATCATTGCCATATGGTTTTTGAATTCAACATGTACTATATAGCCTTTGTTAGGCTATTAGTGTGCACTTACTTTATGATTACATAGATGTATCCACAATGTTGTATTTTCAAAAGAATTTCTCTGTAANNNNGGGGGGGGGGGGTTAACAAAAAAAACAATATTGCTTTCAAATTTTAATCTCATTCATATCAAAGTACTGAACATAAGTTAAGTTTTTATTTTACATTATTGTATCTATGCTTTAAGATTTCTCTATAAAATATAAATTAGCGTGGCACCATTAAGGTTGACATTACCAAATATGCCTTGTGATACAAAATACTCCCACCAAACCTCACAAAAACTTAAAAATATCAGACGATTCAAAATCGTTTAATACCTCTCTTTTAGTTATAACATAGTTAAATTTTAAGTTTTATATATTGATATAATATACCTATTAGTCTTAAATTCCCTACCTTTATAACTAAATTATTACTATTTATATACAGATTAGGTACATACTATGATAATGTTTACAAGCTGTGTAACAATTACATGTGAAGTGATTACAACACCACTCCGCTAACCGGGTCGCCTAACTTAACAAATATCCATTCCCACATCTATACAACACATTATTATAACCAGAGATTTACTTTATCATAGACGGGACATTACAAAACAAAACCATAGACTACTAATATAGACCAATAAGTTTAACTTAATCAAACAAGTGTTTTGAGATTTGAGAAAGAAGTAGATTCCTTGAGGTTGGAACTGATTAGTTACCAATAAAGAAATAAGAATGTTAAGTGGGAAATAAATGTCCAATATTTTATTAAGGGTTATCGGACCAAGTGGGCTTAATTGAATCTGACCTGGCTAAACATCCTTGTTTGACTGCAGTTTCAGATGTCCACTCTATAACAAGTATTGAATCTCTATGGTTATAACCTAATCAGTTCCAAACACAGTTGACATCAGCAAAGTACACATGATTAGTGAAAAAACATCTAATTAATTTTTCTTCAAACTTAGAAAATATTTAAAAGCTAGTAAAACAGTGATTGGCCATAGAACAGAAATTTTTAAACCTTGTACTGGGCAATAATGGCAAATACTAACAAAAGATACATGAAAACATTACATATTTAAAACATACTTACAAAATGATAACTTCATAGTTATTCATTTTCATTTCTGATGGTCCCCAATTTAAATGAGACGCGTAAAAATTAAATAAACAGGTCTGTGATTGCCTGCATTGATTAATGTTTAAGACGTAAAAAAAAAATATTGTTATGCAGGAAATGTGATTAATTAATCTTTCGTACAATCCGACCTATTTCTTATTAAACGTGATCACAGTTGTTTTATTAAAATGTCTATTATCTTAAGTTACTAGCAAACCTAGTCGACCAGTTAGTTACTAGATTTAGTTCAAATGCATATTATGTTAAAATAAGTTAAAACACATTTACTAATAAAAATCCAAATGATTCTTCAAATTTCCGTTAACATTGTCGAATTAAAATTCATATAAAAAATACGAGATAAAAATTGCCGGTAGGAATGTAATTTTTTTGACAGGTGACAATTTTAATAAACTTATCCTCATGAGATGGACAGTTCAGAAAGTATCTGAATACAAAATTTCCAATGTGTACCTAGTACTTTTCTATACAAAAATGAATTTGTCATTTTACATCTATCTTTCATCAAATCACGATTTCTCAATTATAACCAACATAAATTCACAAAAACACTCCAATCACCTATACACTTTCTACAATAACATAATAAAAAGCAAAACTATTTGAACTTTTTACAACAAATTTTACATAATAAAACAGACATTACAAGATCGACGCAAGCGTTGAGAAACGTCAATTATAAAATCACAATATTTACTAATTTATAACACAAAATCTATCATCCCTTTTAACCTCTTATTTTACTTCCATATACTTCTGTATATTTCACCGCCTTCTCCAAGTATTATATGTAAAATACTTTACAATATTTCAATCTCTCTCAAATATATGGTGTTACATTTCATACAGTACTTTAAATATTATCAAATATGTTAAAGAATCGTTATTAACTGGCATTTTTAACTTAGTAGTAAACAATTATGTCAACACATTAAAAGTTTGGTCAAATTATCATACAATGCCTATTTAAAAATGACAAAATAAACCAAAATGAAAAGAACATTTTTAAAATTCGTTTAATGGATAGCCCAACGAAAACATCTTATATATGATCAATAGCAGTTAAATTCTGCAAAGGGGATTGATTGTCAGGGGTTTTTAAAGGTTTTCTTGTATTGTTTTGCATAGGGGAACTATACTCTGCTTTTGTTTTTGTATTTTTGCGTCGCATAGCAACGGATAGTAGGCGCACTTGAGTGTACAGGAGATAAAAGTGTTTAGTATCAAACACAACAAAACACTATGTACATGGCATTATTGTAGACTTAACATTGCTATTTATGTAGCCGGTTCTCACATAGTCCTGTGTAGCACACAGGATATAAAATAAACAAGTAATTTTTCACATAGTCCCATTCCACAGTACCAGGCTCACGTAAATGTAAACTGGTTGTCACGTACCACTGCGTTCGACAGGTACCAGGCACGCATGATTGTAATCAGCCCCCCTAGACAAAGTGACTTCGATTAGCGATGTTGCTTGTAAAATCGACAAAATGTGTCAAAACGTATAGGAATGAATATGTGACAAGCACGTGACTTATCAATTGTTATTATCAGTTCCATACATTTTTGACTTTTCGATCAGCGATGGCGATAATCGAATGTTACTTTCTCTAAGGGGACTGGTTACATACTGCAACCTGCGCCAGGTACAAGGCGCGCATGAATGTACACTGGTTGCATACTGCTGCGTGCGCCAAGTACCAGGCGCGCATGAATCTGGTTATCACATAGTGCAGTGTGCGGCAGGTACCAGGCGCGCATGATTGAAGTGGTGTCACGTACCGCAGCGAGCGAGGCGCGCGTGCTGCGAGTGCGGTCGCTAGTAGTTGACGGTGACGGGATGGTGCGCGACACCGCCGGCGTGGTGCTGCGCGCTAGACGTGTGCGTAAACGTCGCCACACTGGTCGCGCTGCTCGTACCGCCTCGGACCTGCATATTTTATACAATTATATTTAATTTAAATGATTTTCTTTTTTATAAAATAAAAATTCGTAAAAGCATTTTTCAAACTGACCTGGCTAGTAATTTGCATAACAGCATTATTTTGCTGACTCTGGGCGACCTCTTCTTCTGTCGGTCTGTTTTCGTTAGTTGTTGCTCTAAAAATGGCGAAAAAACATATTAAAACACTTACGTTTTTTAGCAAAAATTGTTTGTATTCGATTTCTATGATACATTGCCATAAGTCAATTTGCTCATTATAAAAACCATTTACATATATGTTCATACCATCAGAGAAAATAGCGGTATTGCAACTTAAGTAAAATTCACTTGAACTTTGTAGGCATTGAGACTACAACACGGAAACAACTTAATTGGTTATTTAGTAGCACGGGTGGAATCTACATAGTTATAAATATTTAATTTTCCTGTAAATATGTGGGCGAGTGTACCTGACGTCGTGTTTGCGGTCAGCACGGTCCGCGGCGTCCTTGGCTGCGTCGGGGGCGACGGGCGCGGCGGGCTGCTGCTCACCGGCCGCAGCCTCACCCGCCGTCTGGTGCGTGCGCTGGTGTGACACCAAGTGACCTGCAGTACACAATAAAAATAATAAAAAAAAGAAATACTTTACTATTACTCACAGGGGTTTAAACCGAGTCTCGTGACGTCACGCGTTAACTGCACTGAGCAGTAAAGTGGGATGCGACCGATGTGCGAACGACTAATAAATATTATGCTCAATGATTTATTCTATTCTATTCTATTTCTTGTTTATGGCTCTCCCTCAGCGGATTGTATATCAATGATTTATGTAGTTAAACTAAACGTGTTTTAAATTTTCTACATATTTGACGACATATTTCGTTAATAGTTTAGAATAATCGGAGTATTTGAAGTTTAACGTACCTTTACAAATGAAGTCCTTGGAGCAAATATCGCATCTGAAGGGTCTGTTTCCGCCGCCCTTCTGATGCGACCGCTCGTGGAACAGCAGATTGCCTTTCAACGGGAACGACTTGCCGCACTCTCCGCACGAGTATGGTCTCTCGCCGCAGTTGTGTGCTCTGGGAAAATAACGACAATATCTTTATTATTATCATTTTATATTAATTATAAATAAATTACCAAAAAAAAAAGAACACATCAACAAATTGAGGATTTCCTCCTTTTTAAAGTCAGTTAAAAATAACCTTTACTCAAAGGTGAGAGACAAAATGACATAATGTATAATAAATTGTTGCTTTGTATGCATATTTAGACTACAAATGATATCGAAAACAAATTACACTGAAGCATTTTATGCTGCCCTCAAATACTGTAACAGTGTAATACTGTGCAAGTAATATTTAAAGATTTTAAGTTAACTACACACATCCTAGATGATTTCATTAAGGATGTATGCATTTCATTCGTATTTTCGGTTGATCAAAAATACGACCTAAATGCGTATTAATGCGACTCCGTCCGCGTGAAAAAGACAAGTAGCCTATTTGTTCGCCTAGACTGCTCTACATTCTTGCCAAATTTCATGGATAGATGGATGGATGTTTGTTAGAGTTTGCAGTCTAAACGGCTGAACGGATTGCGATGAAATTTGGCATAGATGTAGAGGATAGTCTAGAAGAACACATAGGCTACTTACTTTCTTTTTTTTTTAATTCCACGAGGACGAAGTCGCGGGCGAACGCTAGTTTTAATATTTGTGAGATGTATACCTCATATGCGTCATGAGGTGCTCCTTCCTGGTGAAGGGCTTGGAGCAGACCTTGCAGGCGTGTGGCGTGTCGCCCGTGTGCTGCTTCAGGTGGTTGATGAGATGCTCCTTGCGCGTGAACGTCTTGTCGCAGTACTCGCAGCGGTGCGGCGACTCGCCCGTGTGGATTCTGACACAAACACATTACTTTAGTTCTCTGATACATACAAATATATTAATAAAACACATTTTACCTAGTGTTTATAACTTTGTCAGAAGCGCATCTTGTGCTATCTTCTCTAAATAATGCAGATTTATTATATATAGTGACAAAATATATTTTATTATATTTGGATCTGTTATAGAGGAAGATCTAGAAGGATACTTAGAATGCTTTGCAAAATCCTAACTATAATTATTATAAACTCCATAAACCATGAAACTAAAGTATGAAATATAGCATGCAGAGAAATACAGCAAAATAGGGTCAACTTAACTAAAAAAGAAACAAGATAAGCCGCGAGCAACAGCTGACACAGCTAGACTAAATTCTATTTCTATAACTACTACACAGAGTTATGCGACGAATAGTTACATCTCTTAATAGAACTAACCAGAGATGTAACTCTTTTCATTGCATATACAGTCAGGTAAATTGGCGGTGTTCGACCCTAAAAGCTACAATCGTTTTAACATTTGTTAACGAGACATGGAACAAAAATCAATACTTATGTGTCTGTAAAAAATAAAATTGGTTAGTTTCTTTTTATTATTCTATCTTTTGCAGCACTCACTCAATACTACTTTACTAGTTCTATGTATAAAGAGGCGTAGTTTGTTTCTTCCTAAAGTGGAACACCGCGTATTTCCAGGATTGTACAGTACCGTACGTATGAATGGCGAGTGTTGTCACCTGACGTGGTTGGTCAAATGCTCCTTGCGGGAGTAGGTCTTGGTGCAGAAGGGGCACTTGTGCGGCGTCTCCCCGGTGTGCTGGTGCACGTGGTTGGTGAGGTGCTCCTTGCGGGAGAACTCCTTCGTGCAATACGTGCACTTGAACGGAGTCTCGCCCGTATGCAGTCTGCGGTCAATACATTCCGATTAAGTGCCTTCACTTATTTACTATTCAATTGTATCACAGCAAATGGGACTCAATCGGAATGTAGTGTTTGTTGGGGGAATAAGATAAATTTACCTCGAGTCTAGTTGCTTTAGTTATTGCCGATTGAACCCCAAATGCTTGATGCTATCTGGATTTAATTAAAGATATAAAAATGTTTGTGTATAAATCCGAGTGGATATACGCACTGAACATAGTAAACGATACATTTTTTTACGGACTACTCACGGTTATGTGGGTTTAGCGGTGTCGTTGTGTTGAATGCATGTTGGGATCTGTATACGCGTCGGA